CCGACGACATAGTACTTACTTATTACCGAAGATCTGGGTGAAGCACAACAAATGCTACAAGAATTAGAAAACGTATCTTCAGCAATAGGTCTAAAAATGAACATCAGTAAGACCAAATTTAGGACAAATTTAGTTCCCAGTGAACACCTAATCATCCAAAAATCAAGTGGTAGAATTGACAGAAAAGTACATATATCTTGGTCATGAACTCAGAATAGGCAAGGACAACCAGACCTGCGAATTTCAACGACAAATAACACTTGCTTTGGCGGCGTATGGTTCACTAAGAGATATCTTTAAGAGCAACATCCCAATAGCTATGAAACGGAAGACATTTGACCAATGCGTTCTTCCTATTATGACATACGGAGCAGAAACTTTCACGCACACTAAAAATGCGAATGGCACAAAGGCGCATGGAAAGATCAATTCTCAGCGTGACAAAAAAAGACAAAATAAGGAATCAATACTTAAGGAAAAGAACAGGTATCAGCGATGTCGTCGAATGTATAGCCAAGCTGAAATGGAATTGGGCAGGTCACATAGCGAGACTGAAAGACACAAGATGGACCAGAAAACTAATTGACTGGCGCCCACGAGAAGACAAACGCAGCGAATATCCAAGAAATGGCAACAAGAAACACAGAACCGTGAAGAATGGCGAAAAATGGGAGAGACCTATGTCCAGCAGTGGACAGAAGAGGTTGCATGATGATGATGATTGCAAGAATCTCTTTTACCGCTTATGGAACACCATTTGACATCAGCGAAAGATTTTGTCTTCCAACAGGACGGCGCAGATTGTCATACCTAAAAAAGAGTTTAAAATGGATTGAAGACCATGGCATACCAATTCTGGAATGTCCTAACAGTCCCGACTTGATCCCAATAGAGACTTTGTAGCACGAAATGAAAAAAAAATTTGAGAAAACATCCTGCCAGGTCCGTCAACGAATTGAAAGAAAAATTGCAAGAAATATGGGATTCGTTTACATTAGAATTTTGTCAGAACTTGATAAAAACTATGTCTCGAAGAATTGTGGATGTCGCTAAAAAAAAGGGGATGTAACTCAGTGGTAAACTTTCACATATTTTTTTTGTTTGTTAATATTAAATATTCTATGTACTTAATACGTTTATAATATTTGCTAAGAATCAATACGCTAAATAAATAAAAATAAAGATACTAACGGATCACTCTGTACGAGTACCTTTTTTACACATACTGACGATTTTCTATATAAACTTGAACCATTTACCTTAAAACATCAATACAACTCAAGACAATCAACGAATAGAAGTGAAACTAGAGGATCTGTCAATGGGTCATTAGGACGGTACACAAAAAGCTTTCATCAAATTGTTGAGTTAGTCGCGACGATTGAAGCAGTACAAAAAATGGCTTAAAAAGTAACTGCGAGGTACTGTTAGATTAATATACTTATGCTGAATATGTAGGTCTTGAACTGTTAAGAAAAATGACGTGTCACAGTACAATGATTCTAATATTATAAGTAAGTCATATAATTTTACGTAGAAGAAATAAAGAAGGTACTTGTCAGTTGCTTTGCACGGTGCTACCTTTTATACAAAGACTAAATAATCCTTATGAATTACGTATTGAAAGCCGTTATACAAAATACAACATATAACAAATGAGAAAATTTCAGATCAATTTAAACTCAAGAAAGATATGAGAACTAATAGTATATTACTTTATGAGGCGGAGAAACATGACTTTTCTTGACGCGCCCGATATTACGCGCCGAACGAAGTGAGACGCGTAATAGAGGGCAAGTCAAGAAAAGTCGCTTCTTTGCCGAATAAAGTATACTATTTTTTCTTCAAACGTAGCAATTTTCAACCATAAATAGTACCATTCATACGCTATTTTTACTCGAAATTAACTGTGACAACTATCAAAGTAGTCTAGATGTTAGAAATTAAAATAATTAAGTCGTCGGTGGGATTTGCGTCTCCCTGGTTACAGTTGTTTGCAATTATTAAAGACAGCTTATTGTTGTTGCAACCGCAAGCGCAAATTTAGTGCGAAAATGGAAATGGAGTCCGCGGCTAATGATGCAGTAGCACGTTTGGGGCCCTCCAAGTCCGGAATAAAGTATCGGTTAGCGTACAAGCACTTCCAAGAGTGGTGCGATACAAGAGGAGTACGGCAAGTTACCGAAGACGTTTTACTAGCATATTTTAATATAATGGAAAATGAAAATAAATGGAAATCTTCTACAATGTGGTCACGATACTCTATGATAAAATCCGAGTTAGTTATTAGAAAAAATGAGGATATAAGCAAATTTTTAAAGTTACGTGCCTTTCTGAAAAAAAAAAACAAGCGAAGGATATACTGCAAAGAAGTCTAAAGTTTTCACTAAAGACGAGTTTGATAAATTTTTGTTTGAAGCGCCAGATAAGTTGTATTTAGGATTAAAGGTAAAAAAAATTATGTTGCAAAGCATGTAGTATACTCTACTAAATTATAAAAATATTTCAGATTGTTTTGTTAATTGGGGTTATGGGCGCCTGTCGATGCGACGAAATGGTAAAAATGAAGACTGTGGATATTGAGGATAAAGAAAATGTAATAATTATCAAAATCCCAGACAGTAAAACACGACAAATTAGATCTTTTACGATAATTGGTCAAAACTACATTAAACTGTATAAAAAGTATGCATCACTGCGGCCTGAAAATTTCACAGAAAACCGATTTTTTATCAAGTACCAAAATGGAAAGTGTTACCGAAGCGTCATGGGAATACATTCGATCAGCGCAGGAGCCCAAAAAGTAGCTAGTTATTTAAATTTAAACGATGCAAGCGCATACACGGGTCACTCTTTACGACGAACACTTTTAACTGATGGAGGCGGAAATCTAGAATGCCTCAAACGACATGGGGGCTGGAAATCAAGCACGGTTGCCGAAGGATATATAGAGGATTCAATAAGAAATAAGAACGATAATGCTAAGAAAAATTTTAACTCTCATGATTCGCCAACATCGGGAATGATTGCTGAAAGTTATTCTCGACCATCAGTATCATCAACAATTACCAATTCGTATCAAGAGTCGGGAACATTTTTGCACGGTTTCAATTTTGAAAATGCCTCATTAACTAATTGTACTTTTAATATTACTATAAATAAAAATGATGTTTAATTGTTGTTAATGACATTTGTATTGTTGCTTTGTGACATGTTTCATATTGTTGCCATGACAACATTTTTCCCTCCGCCGTAAAGAAATGGGAAAAAAACTGCTGCCGGCGGAGACACCAAACTTTGACAGGATCAAGTTAGATAAGTAATGTTATCATTCTTTGACGTTTGAAGAAAAAAGATGTTTATTAGATAAAAATGTTTAGATCAGTAAAAATACATGTTTATTATGTTTTCTGGATGTCAAAAAAGCTTTCGATCAAGTTACTCTTAAAATTCGAGTTGTACGGAAGGATCTTCTAACACAGATTCTTATAGGATTACATCCATTGTTTTTCTTTAATAAGTTCGTATTGGATCAGAAAACAGGAGAATATGATCACTTCTACAGCGGGGTACAAAAAGAGAAAACAGGTCAACAAGGTGTTGCAATATTAATAAGTAAGAAACTAAATAGTGTCAACAATAACAATGGATGACTGGGACCAATATTTTGAGAAAATCCTAAGGGAAGATAGACCACAAATTTAAAGACAGCAACGAAACACAGAATATATATATTTTAACTTCGCCTATACAAATAACAACGAAAGAAGTGATAGATATATGTAGATCTCTAAAAAATAACAAAGCACCGGGTCCAGGTAACATCCCTGCAGAGTTAATTAAACACGGTACAACCAAACTATATACAAGTTTCGCTAAACTGTTTCAAAACTGCATTAATGTAACCCCAGAGGAATGGAAGACATCATTCATATCCACTATATACAAAAAAAAGCACAAGGTATGAATGTGACAATTACAGAGGTATTGCCGTGACAAACTCTTTGACTTTATTTTATGGAATGGAATCTTGGACATTGAATGCGACATCAATGAAAAAACTGGAATCATTCGAGCTGTGGATGTCGAGAAGAATTCTGAGAATATCATGGCAGAACATGTCACAAACAAAGAGGTTCTGAGAAGGATGAATAAATAAATGGAAAATTTAAATACAATTAAAACAGGAAAATCAGAATATCTCAGACATATTGCTGAATAAAACCAAAAAACAGGAAGTAATGATGAAAATATGTAATTAATCCTTTCAGTCATGCTTTTTTTAGTGTAATGAAATATATTTTGTTAATAATTCCTAGTTATTCCAAGTGATGTTATTCTTGATGTCTTTTGGTAGGAATATTAGCATTTTTTTATTAAAATAGGGCCAGTTTTTGATGTTACCAATTGACAACATTGTGACTAACTGTAATATTTACTTAAACAAAGTTAAAATTCTTGTGTAGTTAATTGACGACACAGTGACTGAATGGGTTAAGACAGGAGAGAAAAGTTACGAATGGTGAAATATACTATATATGATTTGTTTTATTATCTTTATCCCATTTATTTCTAAACGAGTGCAAAACTAGCCATTTTTAATGTCAAGATATTAGAAAGATGTTTTTTTGTATTTATAACAATGAATGTTACAAAAAATAAATTAAAACAACATTTAAAAAGTTGTTAAACACTGTGAGTGAACAGAACAGAAAAATATCAGGTGAGAGAAGATGATACAACTGAAAATAGTTTAATTTTTAATTATTTTTGCTTGAAATAATCTTTTATTTTATTAATTAATAATTGCCTTAATGTATCTTCGTCTACTTGATCCTCAATCTCTTTTATTATTAATTCCCTTCAAACTGTTTTCTCGCTCATCATTTTGCTACTGTTTCTGTGACTTTAACTCAATGTTTTGAGCAGGAAACCACTCAAAAGTAGAACAAAATAAAAACTACCTTGAATTGTTAATAATAAAACAAATAAATACTTACTCTTCGTCTTGTAGAAGTTTCTCAGCAAGTGCCAACCTCAGTCTCACACTTTTCATACTTTGAAATGGGAACAGTTTACAAAACTTGTTTAAAAATGTGGCATTCCAGCAATATGTTGGATAAATCTCGCACTGGTCCCACAACCTAGTGTTATGGGTGAACAAATAAACATGGGACAACCCAAAGTTTAGGTAGTTGTACAAATTACTATAATCACAGTTCAATAAGCTTTTGAGGGTCTCCAGAGCTGGTTTAGCGTCAGGAGGGCCTCTAATCTGGACTATGCCGTAGTCTAGAAGCGGCTCGTAGTGGTAGTAGTTACCGGGGACAGCGTTGAGTATGTCTCCAAGGAAAGTAGAGCCGGACCGCCAGGTTGTTATGATAATCGTTCGAATCGGCCTACCTCCTGTGGAAAGTGTATAATCATCAAGGTTTGTATCTTCAGGAAACTCGTACCTGGATAATTCTTTCGACAACAAGTTTCTTTCGATAGAAATCACATCGTCAATGGATCGTATAGTGTAGGTGTTGTTAGTGTTTGAGTATTTGAAACTATCGTCTAGCTCGATATACTGCTGGTACCTGTGAGAGCGCTGATAGTTATTAAGATCTTTTTGGCTAAACACTATTAGAAGAAGACATACTACCGCAACTATCGATATACCGAAGACTTCACTTCTTCGAACCATTGTATATTTCAATACTTTTTATCCTTGACATGAATACCATTCGGCATCAATAACAAACAATTAACAAGACAAAACGGCACTTTTTCTTATTGATACTAATCCCCTACACCGCACCATAGTTTATTAAATACTGCAGATAGTGCATACTGCAGATCTTTTTGGTGTAAACTTTTTTAGTGACAGATTAGAAAATTTAAATGTCGAACGCGTGATACATGCGCACCTCAATTGTGTACAATGTCACAAACTATTCGCAAATACGACTCTACTATCTGTCAATAGATGGCAGAAGCCGGTATAAATATTATGATATTAAATTATTTGTAAATATTGGTGGAATTCCAGCAACACACTTTACATTTTTGTCAAGAATAAATATTTATGAAGCTATTTTTGTGTTCAGAAAATAAAATATTATAAATTTTTACTTAGGATATGTTCTGAAAATGAGTGTTTATGTCATATTAACTTTTTTAATGTTATTTGTTGAGAATTGCATAAAAAATATTTGACAAAATGACAGATAGAGTTTTGACATCTCAAATATAGAACAGATCAGGACTAGGATCTATATGACTCCAACAAAATTTATAGTTTTTCTTCCATAGCAAGGACAGGTTTCCGTATTTTTATGTATTCAATGCATCAAATTCAAAATCTTTTTCTTTCTTGGATCTCAAATCATCTAAATGTTTTTTTCGGCGTCTGTCAAGTTCATAAAATTTCGTTTTGGTACATAGATACTAAAAATTTGATGAACTTAAGAAACGATAATAGAAAGGGTTTTACTGTCAAACAGGAAGACGACCTTGACGCATATTTAATTAAGTATTCAATTTGGGACTGTAAAATAAAAAGATGTGTACTATGTTGGGAGAATCCTTGGTAAATGTTATGATGGGGATGTTGAAATTTCATTTTTGAGAATGACATCTAAAGTAAATTATAAATTTTTCTACCCCATCGTACCAGATATCTCTAGTGCTTCTTTATCAGAAATTTAGCCCTTTTGTCAACTCCTTCTGAGCAGGGTACAAAGCGACAGAAATCATTATTGCCTTTTTCAGTTTCATCGGAAAAATTCAATATGCATTAGGGGTTTGATTAATATCATACTATAGTTTTAAATATTGTAATAAATAATTTCTAAAGCATTTATATGAGGTTATCATTTTTGTAATTGTGTCTGAAGCTGCCCCATTCCCCGTCTGAAAGAGCCCCACTCTCCCCTAGAGTGTAGAATAGAAAAAAAAGGCAAATAATATTCACTAATATTTATTTAACATTCTCAATTGACATGATATACTTAAAAGAAAGATAACTAGAAGAAATAACATACATTTAGATAATATATTTTCTATTTTATAACAGCCATAACCTTACTTTCAGATATTACAGTGCAACGGCGTTAAAGATTATATACAATCAACAGTGGCGTGCACAGACATTTGAAAAGGGTTTTTTTTATTAATTTAAACAAAATGTATGTCCTATATAATCTTTAAGTAGCAAAGCCATTTTTTGTCGTATTATGTAAGTGTAAAGCAATACGTGTTACAAAAAAAAACAGAAATTCATGTTTGCATATTCGTTCTTATCAGTACTTATCCGCAGAGTCGTTTAAAAATTGCCCTTGTCATGTACACACCGCTGTAAACCAACGTTAATAGAAACAATAGCACATAATTAAGGACTTTATTGACTAGGGTGACTTAAAGAAACCTAAAACAACTGTATTTTAATCACCCACGCGTGATCCAGTCCTTTACGATGATAGTAACGAAAACATGTAATTTGTCAGTCAATTTTACACTTATATTCCTAGAAAACGAACAGGAATGTGGAAAATACTTCGTTCAGTGGCAAAACAAGTAGTAAAATCATTATCTAAACTGTTTCATTTCAAAAAATCGAATTTTTCAGGATAGCCATCATAAAGAAATCTTTCAATGCTTTCTCATTCGTGTAATAGTCCAATTTATTCGAACCTAGGGAAATTTTAGGTCGTGTGACTACAATACGGAGCTCGGATTGTCCAAAATTGTCAAAATTTTGCCGATTTTCCCCAGATCTGAAGAAATTGTTTTGTGTTTTGTGTGATTCAAGGTATATGTTGGGGAACCGTTAGTAAGACAATAACATCTTAATTTTTGCTTGTATTATAACGATTTTGATACTCGTTCTGCACTGAAACAAAGCTTGTACCGTTGTAAATGCTGAATAATAACAACTAATAGTTTTACCATAATTTGTAAACGATAAATTTTTATTTTTCTATCAAATAGAAGTTTTTTTTTGGAAAAACTATCGGTGTCTTTTAGTAAATATATAAAAAATAGTTCACGGTAAACTACTGAGGATATGATACAAAGTTAGCTAGCATGAATACAAAGCTGTGATTTGAAAATAGGTGTAGTACGCTTAAGTTATAGCATAAAAGAAATGTCCCTGCACATTCGTCGATATCTTGCAAATAATCTCATTGAAAAACTTTTGTTTTCGATTGCTCACGATCAGTTTTCAAGTATTCTACTTAAATAATCTGATTGATGTGGTCTGAAGCCGTGCTCAGCTTCTTTTCTTTCTCAGCTTCTTTATTATTGAAGGCAAAATAACTAAAACAAGCATAGACCATTCTTTATGGTATTCTTTGTCACGTTCTACACCTGTTGCTATACGCGTTTGATTAGGTACAGTTGAAAAATACATTTTTCTATTCTACGAGGTACACTATGTAAGATTTACAACTGGATATTTAAAGATAAAATTGTTAATTACTGGCTAAGCTTAATTTATATATGTACCAGTCACACAAAAAGCATTTCAAAGCATCGTCTTACTGTTAAGTAGCTTTAGGGGTGTCGTTTGTGCAACTGGACGCAGACTAGTCAACGAATACGATAACAATAGCAGTGTAAACAAGAAATAATAGAGATTTTGCATAAATATACATAATTTTTGAAGTATTTCTTTAATTAAAAAAAATCCGTATCATTCGTACAACTCCAACGCATTTTGAGGTTATGTTTGGTAGTTAAGTTAGGTTATGTGTGATTGAGTAAGGTTAGGTGAAGTTTGACAATAGAACTGAAATTGACATACACTAAAATCCAGCCACAGATAATAGCAGCCTACAAGAAATAGTACTGGAATTGAAAGAATGGAAAATAAGTGAACAAATAAACCAAATGGACTCTATTTGAAACACATATAGAATTACTACATTCGGGATGATCTGATAGCAAAAAATATGTATATTTATTATTGATAGTTCATATTATTGAAAAAAAATACTCTAGGGGTGTATATACGCGTTTAAAAACCAGAGAATGTTACACCTTCTGAAACATGTCAAAAAAACAGAACAATTTGGTCAATAATCAACCAAAAAATGGATAGAATGAAAAATGACAAATCAATGTGACCCAAAATTACAAAGGGGTTGCCCAAAATCAAAGAGATATTTCCTCAAAGATAGGCAAAACAAAAAGCGACAAAAGATGGCGCTTTCGTAAATATGATATCACTGTTTTTGAAAGTGTGTTCAATGGTGGAATCGCCACAACAGCTCATGAAGTTAATATAGAAGTTTTAACTGTAAATAAAAACAAAAAACGACGGATGTATTTTTTATATGTTAAAGTTTTTTTGTGGTAAATCCCTGGCTTTTAAAATTAATTTTATTAGGAAGACTCCTCAAAACCGCCTTTTTTATACTGTTTACACAGTTTTGTAAATAAAGCGATAATAATATCCCAATAAACGCAAAAAGTTGAAACAAAAAAATCTGCTATTGGATAAATACAAAAAACGGTGGGAAATAATACTTTTTAAGCCTAATGAGTCTTTTTATGACCACAATTGCAAATTTATAACCAAAAACTCATCGAAGGCCTTGAGTTTTCAGCACTTTAAACATTTTCTTTGATTGTACCACAGTTTCAAAAGCAACAAAAGAATGTACGACAATTCTGTGCAAATTTCAAGCCCATTTGTCAATTTTGAACAGCTTTAACCGTCGTAACAAAGAAAATGAACGGCTACTGATCAAATTAATTCTATATATGTCACAAATTGGAAATAATAGTGGTTAAAAAGACTCATTACATTATTTTAAACTACTACTGCAAAACTGTTTACTCGGGTACATTAAAAGTAACCTTTTTCATCTGATTCTAGCCGGCCAACGTTGCCAGATTGCTTAGGAAGTCCTCGGGAGTGAGTATGTGCGACGAGCCGATGATTACTTCCCAGTTTTTCTGGGCGTTGGTCACTTCGTAGGCGCATCTGATCTCTGAGAAGCTGATTCCACCCACGACGAAGACGAGCAGCCGGGGAACGTTCTTGACGGCTTGTTGGCCTCTATCTTTGTGCCACTGGCCGTAACGGGCACTGAAACGTACCATTTGATATCAAAATATGACCTTAATCGTCTAAAGTATGAAATGTATTACCTGGAGGGTGCTGCATGGTATCCAGTCGATTGCGCTCGTCCGCTCAAGTATGGGTAGTGTTTCTGGTCCAGTTTGTCGTCTATGCAATCCTCCATTATATCCTTAATGATAGGTGTCCATCTTGACATTTGGTACGTTTGTTCCGTAATCCTTTCTTTGCGCGGAACTGTATATTGTTTTTTTCTTGGTCCTCCCTGTAAATATCATGACATACGAATAAAAAAAACTGTTGAGAAAAAGTTAGGTTATATTAGGTTAGAATTTTCTTTAAACGATATTTTAAATGTTGGTATTACTTACATCATTAATAACATTGACTCCGAGTAACTGAAGGTTAGCGATGGTCTGTTTGTCCTTGATTTGGGCATGGGTAGCCAATTTAGAGAGATTTTCATCTGTTATACCGTTTTTCGTCATAGCGTACAATGCTATAATACGCATCTTATCGTATTCATTGGTGATTTTGGGATCTAGCAATATGGGGACGATGTTGCGCATGTGATCCTTGATTTTCTCGCCTTCGGCGTCAGTTCCCATTGCCAAATCCTGCAAAAATATTTCCACAATGAAAAACAAACATTTACACAACTTCATCTTCTTTATTTACCTGTTCAACTTTACACAGCTTGTCGATATACCCTTGATAGGCCTTCATACAGTCCTCAGCGAGATGAAGATGCGTCGCATACTTGGACAATTCCTTCTGATATTGTGGCATCTTTTTGATCATGGTGGACAGATCCTTCATCGATTGCTTGTCACTCTGGGTCATGCGTTTTGAGTCGGTGAATTTCTTCAGATTCTTCGTGACGCTTTGAGACACCACCGCGATGTGTTGGTGGCGTAGATCGACCCAAAGTTCGTCGTTTTCGTCCAGAAGGACTTCCTTCAGAACGCCAGCTGATGCTTCGTACCTATACAAGCAAAACAGTTATTAAATCTTCAAAAACACAGTTAAAATTCTTACTTATAGACATCATTTTCTATTGGTAGTAAGTCGTAGGCCATTGCTTGGAAGGTGAGTTCGTGAAGAAGAGGAGATACACAGTCGAAACCTCGGTCGAGGATCAGCAACTGCGATCTCGCCTTTTCCGGTCCCTCTCCCATGGTAGGTTCATCGGCTTTGTAGGCGTCCAATTTTTGCTGAATTAGTTGAGCCAGCTCAACATTCCTTTCCCAATCGCTAAAACAATATTCATTAGAAAAATTGTGACTGATTTTTGACATATGACAAACGACAGGAGACATTCTCGTCCCATGACGTTTGACAATTGTCGAAATATCACAAAACGTTAAATATTTACGTTCTATATCTGACGTGAGGGTATTCTCCTAGAGTTGCACATAGTGTCGCAATTTGTTCTGCCATTCTTTCCATATTGGCGTTTCTGGCGGCGGAAAACGAGGGATCGTAGCTACATTGGAACGTGTCTGGTGAATCCAATGAGAACACCTGGGAATGAAGCATGTTTTAACGTTATTTATATAATTGTGATCCAAAACCAAGCTAGAGAGACTTGTGACGAATAAAACATGGATGATTTTAGTTCATATAGAGTTACTGACAACTAAAAATGCGAATATTACACAGTTATATAACAGCAATGCGCCTTTAGCTTGGTTTTAAATCTTTTGAATGTAACTATTAACATGTTTGAACTCTGGAAACAATACAAAAACTGTGACGTTCCTATACATGTTTTAATTCACTGGTTAAACTTCTGATCTGTACTTTAAAGCTGTTTTCCCTATGTGGTTCAACGAAATAACCGGTAAAGCATTGTACAGAAGACATTTTAGTTATAGAAAAACTTTAAATTTTAGCTATAGAAAAACTGATCATTAAAACGAGAAATTCCATGACCACTAAACGGCTCATGTAATAATTAGATTGTTTTCCATCAGCATATTATATGGAGAAGTTTCTAAAAATATTCCCCTAACTCTCTCCGCGATTTTTTAGTTATTTATGAACTATTTGATGTACAATGTTGTGCTTATTATATATTCCTGCAACACTAAATTTTTAATGACAGTTAGCTGTCAGCTGTCTTTAGTTCCTATAGGAGTTTGTTTTTAATAAAGATGAACTAACAGTGTGACAACTGTTGCACTGTGTGTTATTTTTCGTTGCTCTACATTTTACAACGCAAAAAACACCAAATACCATCCTTGAACGAGTTTTGGGACACCCTATACATGATTTATTATTAATTTATTGTCAGTTGTCTTTATTTTCATCCAATAAATATAAAAAAAGGTTTATCATGAACTGCTTTAATGTTGGATATGTTTTTCCTTCCTGTAGCTTTTTGTTTTTAATAACCATGACCTGTCAGCTGTCACAGTGTCTTTATTTTTCGTTGCTCTATATTTTATGACATAAAAAACACCAAATTCAATCCTCGCATGAGTTTTGGAACACTCTATACACGATCTATTATTTTATTGTCTGTTGTGTTTGTTATTTTCATCCAATCAACATAAGAATAGTTTATTATGAACTGTATATGAATAGTTTTAATTATTTACATGTTTTTAGATCCTGTAGCAAATAAATTTTAATAATAAAGAACTCTCAGCTCTCACACCATTATGTTTTTAATAATGATGAACTGTCAGCTATCATACTCTCTTTATTTTTCATTGCTACACATTTTACGACATAAAAACAACAAATTCAATCCTTGTATGAGTTTTGGGACACCCTATATAAGAATCATTATTATTGTATTGTTCGTTGTGTGTGTTATTTTCATCCAATCAATATAAAAATTGTTTCTCATAAACTGATTCAGTTATAGACATGTTTTTCGTTGCTGTAGCAGTTTGTTTTTAATAAAAATGATCTCTCAGCTGTCACATTATTTTTAATTTTAGTTTCACCACCTTATTATGTGTTTTACATTTCTCTAGGAATTCATTTTACCTTATGATGAACTGTCAGCTGTCAAACTATCAATATTTTTCCTCGAATTACATTTTACGACGCAGAAAAGCACCATATTTCATCCTTGCATTATATTGTTCATATGCATGGTTTCTCATGAGCTGCTTTGATTTAGGACATGTTTTCTTTCCTGTAGTACTCTATTTTTAAACTGAATGAAATGTCAGCTGTCAAGTTATCCATATTTTTCAATAGTAATATTTTTTACTACACAAAAAGGCGCCAAATTCAAACAACATGAATTTTGGAACACCCTATAGAAAATTTATTATTGCATTGTTTGTTGTGTAAGTTATCTTCAACCAGTGAACATAAAAATAAATGTACCACTAATATCAAATAAAAACTACAACTCCTTTCACATATAGGACATGAGTTTTGAAAAATTGTCTGTTATAACGTTGTATCTGATTGGTGAACATAAAACGCTTAAAAATGTATAAATATTACGTTTTTTTACAAAACTGATGCCTAATATATCGTTAATAATAAATAAATACACAAACAAAGCTACTGACTACAAAAACACAACAAAAAGCGTTAGTATAAGGAAAAACGTCTACAAAATGTTGAAATTTATTTCAAAATCACAATTTATTCAATTAAAAATTAGTTCTACAATTATTTGGCTGCCTATGGTGCATTTATTAACTATTATTATTGTTTAGTATCATTTTAAAGTAATGTTTTCTATAATTAAGGAGCCTGAGTATTAGAAAGAGGAGGAGACAGAATTTCTCCACATTTTGTAGACACTTTTACAAAGAAACACACCTGAGACTCATACGGCAAGAACGCAATGTTGATTTCCTTGAGAGTCTTAATTTTTCTGGCCGCACAAGACTTGCACAGCTCATTGAACAGTTCTTCCGGGCATACTGTTAGACAAAACAACAATTCAGACCACATGTAAACCAAATGGCACAAACAGTTACATTTTTAATATGTTAGTAGGAAAAGGCTGATATACAAGAGCAGACAAAGACTGAGTAGGTTAGTATTTGAACGTGTGAACCAAAAAGCATACCTTTAGGTGATTTTAAGCAATTGTCAATACCTGTGACTCAGTCGGAATGAATGCTATGTTGATTTCTTTTAGGGTTTTGATAAATTTTGCTACGGGGTGGTGACACAATGTGCTAAATAATTGGTCTGGACATGCTGAAGAAAACAAAAAATAATAAATATCCAATGTATCAAACAAAACACTGCAAATATTGTTTTTGTAATTTTTAAAAAAACAAATGTCACTACGGCTGTATTATCTGTTTCTAAATGTTAGCATGTATGCACAAATTTGCAGTCAACTTCTCATTTCATTAGTTTTTGATTTTTTGCAAAGATTAATATGCAAAAATTCTCTAAATCTGGAAAAAGTATTATTTTTTATAGTTAAATACATCGACAACTACCCAAAAACAGTATCTTACAATGTCTTATTTTATAAAACAAAAAATAAATAAAACTAAAATGAATGTAAAATATAATTTCTATTAAGAGCACTGGATTTTATCAATATCAATTTGTTTAGTGGTTCAAAATATACATTTTTGTCACGAGTGGGAATTCCAGCATCATAAAACCATATTTATTATGTAATACCATATACGTTTATCAAAATAATATACAAAATATCCAAAGATAAACAAAATTCCCAGTACCAAATTAGTTGGATTTGTTTTTGGCTTGATTGTTGCCCACACTTGCAATTTTATGATTTGCACTTTCTTTAATAATTATGGTTTAAAATACAATTACCTACCTGAAATTATTTTATACATTGTATTATTCACTAATAACTCTTTCAGAACTACCAAAATATTTTTTAATAATCCCTTTGATATTCTATTTGATAGTTAAATGGACCCACTAAACTAGATACTTCACAACACTACAACCATGTCATTACAAACTCAAAATGGCTTACCTTCTGTAAAAAATACATGTGCCCCTCTGTACATCTGCCGTGGAGGTTCAAAGTCGTTCATTAGAGCATGAACTGACTTTTCTGAAGGAGTTATCAAGTACACAGCTTCCATGGTACCAAGTGGTTCCCTCTTCTTCATAATATCTTCAACCACTTAAAAGAAAACACATATTATATACATTTTATCAACAGTTTTTTTTTTCAAATCTCTTCAAAATCTCTACAAAAGTTCCATCGAGAATGACTAGTGACATAAATATATGAATATAACCAATAAATAGGCTGAGCACTTACATGTAATGCCTTCTGCTGATATATCATGCATTTTACAGCAGGCTGAAACCATCCGCATGGCAAGCTGGTCCACCACAAGGATCCTCCACTCTACCCCATGGGCTTGCTGTCCTGGGGTTGGCCCATTCTTCTTGGTAGGCTTGTGCTTAATTACTTCATTCATGATTTCTTAAGTGAAAAAAAATAACATCAAAAAATATTAAAAGAAACAAATAATAATGTTAAAGGTGATGTTCAGAAAGCAACAAGTACTAAGTGTTATAATATTTCTCTACTATTTATAGAGACTACATCAAGTAGTCTTATTTCGAACAGTTTCTTGTTCATTTTCAGAATTAAGCTCCTTTACATGTCTTTTTTATAGGGTTTATCGGCATTCAAAATTTTTTGCATTCATTAGATAGAAGAGCGTCTTTATGGTATTTCTAGGCAAAGTTCAGATAAAAATTATTATAATTTTGTATTCTATGGTATGGATTTCTTGTTTCCTTGTCTTTTTCTTGCATATTTTCGCTTTCCGAACAACTAGTATTAATATTCAAAGTTTTTTTATAGCCAATATAATTTCCCATTCACTTTTCTTAATCAGTACCTTTCATATTTCATTTTGCATACTATTATATCTCAAAGCAATTGCATCATGGATAATTATTATAAAATTAACAAATAAATAAATAAATGTTAAAGGCCAAATTGAGAACAAGATATGAAAATGATTCATTTTTCTCTGAGAACATATATTTTATCATTATCTGCAAAAATAAAATGCTTGTTATTAATTACTATTATAGTAATCAATAATAAATCTGAAATATACCAACACAAGCACATCTGTTGAATCATATTTGCTCTTCCTAGATTAAATTGTTATTATGAATATTATGAATTCCAAATTATTAATAAATAAGATATGTAAAAGACGAGACACCAATTTTTGTTGACTCCTTAAAATGATCTATTAAAATAATTGAAAAAGATCATATTTGACTAAAAAATCTGAATTAATTTAAAACATAGTCATTTGAAAGAGCAGTTAATAACCGGCAAAACAGATATGATGGGATAATTAGCTTGTTCAGTTTGTTAGAGGGACTATGTTCAACAGTGGACGTAAAAACCGCAGAATAATTTCAATCCGCCTACACAAAAATCGGTTTTTCATCTAAAAACATTTATACAGTATAATTTCAATCTAGAACTTTCAATGTTTGTAAATTATAGTAGGGAGTAATTATAATTTGAGTTTGTGTATTGTATTATCGAAAAATATATTAGGATTAAAATATGAGTAATCCTAACATTGATCTATAGCCTCCTACAAAACGTCAAAATCTACAAATGTTAATACTTTGTCGAAAGTACTCACTTTGACCAACTTGGTTCTTTAACGCCATGTTGTTCCACTTAAGACCTAATTCGGTGACAGAATTGCAGATTTTTCAAAAATTTGGATTAATTTGTCTTCCGATATAAAAAATTGACCTCCGCAACAATAACAAAAAGATGAATGAATGAATGGTCCCAAAAGCGCACAATCCGTGAAGGTATGGTGCGACCCGTATGAATCACTGCTGAAACTACAATTTTCAAGGACTTTTCATCATTAACCCACTTTGTAATAATCAATATCACAAATTTTCAATTGTGCCATCTAGACTTTAGTAGATAAATATCTTAAATGAATAAAATATATTGTTTTTCTTTTTTGTTTTCTTATAGTTGGTTTATTGTGCTTTTTTAATAGACATTCATAAAAATCTCAAAATAATTGTTTATTTTTTTTTTCTATTGTTTTGTTAATTCATTTAGTAGATGGCAGTGGCAGTACAAAATTGTCTTTTTGCTCCATGACAAAATCATAGTCGACTAAATCTCCAGACCGAATCATAGACGTGGAGACGATTTCAGTCTTTCAAATATGGTACCCAATTATCTATGCACTATAAAAACTTAGTATGTACCTTTTACGACTACACATCGTATAGCAATAAAAATATTACCTGCATAAATAAACGTTGTCTGGAAATTCTAAGGCTCTATGTTAATTATTAATAAATTATAGTATTCTGTCCTGTATGAGTATTTCGAGTTTGGAAGACGTTTATATATCCTGTGATGTGATATCAAAATTTGATTTGAGCTTTGTGTTCTGTGATATGCCAATAATCAATGACGTATAATAATTATTATTTATAACTGGGAATAAGCCACAATTAAAGATAAAAATACGTTTATTGACGTTTCAATTTCCAATTCGGAAATCGTTCTCAAAATACAAACATTAAATTAAACAAATTTTGTTTTTTGTTACATAGTGAAAAAATTCTTCTAATTATTTAATTTTATCTGACTCATTTATATTGACAATTCAGACATACATTATGGCATTTTAAAGTAGACGACTTTAAAATGATATTGCCAATATTGTTGAGTTGCGCTCCTGGGACGACTTTACTTATAAGATAGTTCATTCGATTACATGAAATCAACTTTAACTTGAGAATATCCGTCAGAAAAAATCATAGCATCTAATTCGTCTTTAAAAAGACAAACACATGACATGATGACAGTAAAATTCTCCTGTTAGTGATTCCATAGTAAATTATGAGGGAAAAACCAGGAAAAAAACCTCATAATACTATCCCGACATTGTAAGTATTTGTTCGTGAATTTAGTTTACCTTCAACAAACATCAAAAATTCTGATTTTATATGTTACGTAATTTAAAAACATAACTGATGTATCCTCTATATGTTACTGACTTACTAATACTGGTATTTTCTTATTAATAACTTCCTCTTTTAATATTGGTAACCAGATCCTACTACATTCTGCCGAGGAATTTGCGACACAATTGGCCTCATTTAGCATAATTAAAGCCGCTTCTTTGATTAGCTTCAGAACAATATAATGACGTATAATATTATACCATTCACAGTATATACCACAAATAGCAGTGCAACTGGTATAGGATAAATGGGGAGAGTGAGTTGCATAGGCCCAGCCGTTCGTAATGACGACGGCGCTACTAGTCACGTTAGGTGGGGATAGGACCAAGGTTATTAAAAATAGACAGGTTGTCTGGTAACTTTACACCAATCAGCGTTGAGAATCTAACGTTGGGAATGACGTCACTGAGAAGGCTACATTCAAATTCATTCTCTTTATTCCTTGAAATGAACTCGAAAAACAGCAATGATTGTAAATATATTAATCTATGTATATAGAAAAAATACGTTTGGACTTTTAATACCTATTTATTTAATTCAATCTTTAAAAAATGTGAGAGATAAGTACCTGCAGAGTCACAGAAATCATAAAATATTATTGCAGCTAAACATATGTAGTAGAATAGCATTACTATATTAAATTTGAAGTAGATTATTTCTTGTGTATACACGTGACTAAAACATGTTAATATACTATATTAATAATTGGGTTGAATATAATTTACTTTTTTTTAATTATTTTGAATTGAGGATAATGCATGTAGTGGATTATTATAAATTCCTCCAAAGAAGTAAACCATGCTGAAAAAGAGATTCAACTAAAGATTTATATATTAGAATTAGTAGTTTTCCCTTAACTTCAATATATTTAAGGAACATTTGATTACATTACTGGATTATTTAATAGAATAAAAATTAAAACATGATTCCATTATATACATACCTTTTAAGTTGTACATAATTTACTTAATAAACTTATCCTTCCTATGACACTTGCTCATCCATTGCTTTTGAATTTTTACATTTTTTGGAAATATAAAAAACATTAAATTCCTTCCATCCTTTTGGAATTTTTTGAATTATTTTTGCAGATTGCTACACTACAAATATTTCCACCAGTCATCTGAATCAATAAAAAATTAAATTAAGTTATGTTTTTCCTGCTTTAATCCCAATGTTAGCTTTACTATATAATACAGCAGAAATAGAATCCAGTAAGATACAACCACGTTAAATGTATCTTAACACTTGCATAAGAGTTTTGGGTCCAAGTTGTATACTAAAAATCACTCAATAATATCTATAACATATTATATCTCAAGATATTAACATAAACTAAAGCACTAACGATATTTAACAACAAAATATATTCTCCAAACCACGTCTTCTATTTTGTTTTCAAACAATTCGTAAAATTGACCCCCTGGGTGACGTCACACGTCATATTTCATTCTGTCAATGTCAGAGTTACCATGCAACCTCCCTTTTACTAACCTTGGAACACATAGTTCTCCAAATTCACAGTATAAACCACAAATAGCAGTGCAACTGGTATAGGACAAATGAGGAGAGTCAGTTGCATAGGCCCAGCCGTTCCTAATCGCGACGGCGCTACTAGTCACATTATGTGGGGATATGACGTAGCAAGAGGGGTATGACTTTGATGTAAGTGCTGTTGCCATGGTTTCACTAGTTTTGCATATTTACCAAAATAATGATTCTTTATACTATGAAATGTTTTCCAAAACACAAAGATTGTATTAAATTCTACTAAAACCACCACTTAAATTCACAATAACTTATTTTCAAAAAATTTTGAGTATCCACCAAAAATAAAATTGTGTAAGTGCGTAAATGGCAACATTGTAAATGGCCTTATTTGTTTATATTATATTAACATTATTAAAATAAAAAGTCTTTGTTTTTTGGTGTCGTTTCGACTGCTAAGAACCCCGAAGATTTTTTTTGGATCTTTCTGACTAACCCCCAAAACCCCGCTGGGTGTGCCACAGCTTGTCTCCATGATTCTTGGTGAGGGAATCAAGAAAGGTGGTCCTAGTTTTTTCAAAGAATATTAAATTTATTTGAAATTATCGAGAACATCCTTATTGTAATATATTTTTTAGTTAAAGTCTAACTTTACACTTTATTGAGTTTGTTTAGCGAAATTGTTAGAGGTCAACATAATTTGTGGAAAAAAAAAGTTTTTTAGTGTTGTAGCATTGCTTAGAGCAAGACGAGCTGCAATACTACCAAATGCACTAGTATACAAGCCAATAACTAGAAGATATGACTTGTCTCGCCATTATTTCTTTTGATATATAATCTTTTATTCATATATTGCCTCTCTAATTACAATAAAGTTCAGGATTATGATTTACAGATCCTTATTCTATGCACTAGACCTGTACAAGGTGGTACAGGGTTCCATAATCCTGTAAAAAACAGTGTTGTAAAGAAATACACAATGAAAAATATAAATATGTAATTATATAAACAAAAATTCTAATCTTTACATTCCAAACTTTGTTTTAATTGAAAGAATCATTTTCCCTCCAGAATATCACTTTAGATTCAGCAGGTTTTTATAGTCTTACAATGGATTTACCAAAAAAGGCTAAAATATATTGTGGCTTGGTTATGTATCATCACTCTTTAGACCCTCTTCCGTTATATGGAAATAACATTTTCCGTCCTGAACATCTGACGAGAAAATAACTTTAAACTCCCTTAAAACTCTTGAAGATCTTGAAATTTGGCATCGATGGTTAATGCTGTTGCTCCAAGCCACTCCCAAACAAGGATTTGCAGTGCCATCAATAGTTTCAGTGACCTAAAGATACAAATATGATACTGTTAAAAATGTATTAGTAAATTATAATTTTGATACACACGACCTATGAATGGTATGGACTGTAACTCATAAATCTTACCTGGTTAGTACAAACAACAGCAACAGGGTATTCCTCCTGTATGACATATAGTTGCTCCACCAAAGATATCAAATCACCACTCCTCAGTAGCAATTCCTTCTCGTTTTCACCTTTGAAGGGACCTGCTATAGAATCTAAAACTATCAAACCAATACTTTCCCTTCTCAGTAAGTTTCGTAAGTCTTGGGATACACAGTTCGTCAGTTCAGTTATATCTGAAGCATGTTTCAAAAATACATTGCTTTCCAAGTTTTTGTTGGACAAGTTGTGACGAATCTTAAAGAATTGGGCCATCTGATGAAACCTTTTAGTTGGAAAAACATCTTCTGTGCAAATATAAACAGCTCCTAAAAGTACAATTAACTGTCAGTCATTAGAAAAGTTAAATAAAAGCAAAAATTTACAAACCTTTGTTTAAACCACCTTCTTCAACTGATAGCTGTACCTGAAGTGCTAATTGGAGACATAACTGTGTTTTCCCAACTCCACTGTAGCCATATATTTCTGTAATTCCACTGAGAGGTATGCCCCCTCTTATAATACGATCTATACTGACGCAACCTGTGGACAGCCTATCACAGGGTACCAAATCTATAGCTACAATATAAAATACATTAACACCAGATGATCTAAAAAAATACCAAACATTAACAACCTTTAAGAATGTTGGCCGGCTTGTGAATGCTTCGGGAAACCTTAATTTTCAGATCTTTTATTTCTTCGGCACTCATACCAGTTATTTTTATTAAATTTTCAATGTCGTTGACAAGAAATCCTTGTGGTGTAATGATGCCATCTGCAAAAAGTCTTTCTTGGATTGAAAGAAGGAAATATTATACCATGACACTTACTTTCACTAAGTTTTTGTTGTACTTCTTCAGTTATTTCATTTAAAAAATTCGTAGCGCCCGGCATTGGAATCTAAATTTAAATTAACTAATATTACTGTAGAAAAAGATATATGTACTACAAAGTTTGGTTATGTATGTGTGTTGTGTTTTGTGTTTAGTAAGTTGTATATCTGGTTGCCTACCCTACAATACACAATACACGAATAATGTTTTTAAGACTAATTTATTCAATACATAAATTAAAAAATATTTACTCAATTCTTGCGTACTTTCTACCGATTATAGCCTTAACAAAAATGTGTAGAAATACTACTAGAATAACAAGAACACCTATCAACATTATAGTGTGATTAAAATTAAACTCCATTTTCTTTTCAACAATTAAACGTATGGTACCGGCTAATTCGTCTCTCTGCCAGCAACTGAAACTATTAGAATCTGCTATTCTAGCGTCATTAATATGTATCCTATCTGTAATAGTAACGAATATTCTTCCTTTAGATTCGGCAGAAATTATCTCCGGAATCAAGTTTTTGTTGCCAACTTGCCAGTGTATTGGAGCGTCTGTATTCATGCTTCCTGGACAAGTTAAGACTATTGTCTTTCCTTTAACAACATACAACATGTTTCTGGCTACCGGTGGCTCTAGAGGAGGCAATGATTGTAGCATGGAGTAAATTCCTGCGGAATTGTTTGCCTAAAAACCATAGAAGGTTAAGGTTGAAGAAATGTCACTGACGGTTACCTCACCTGTTCAATAATATTTCCATGTTTGTCCTTCACAATAAACAGTTCGTTAGTGGGACAGTCGACTTTGCAAAATCCTATCATGATTTCGTTTTTTCGAAAATCTACTGCTTTTAATTCTTTAATAGAAGTAGGGAGAATGTGGGATTTACAAGGAATGCCTAATTGAAAAGCGTTCAGCAGCTCCAAATCAACAGCTATCGATTCCACGCTACTCTCTGTCTTTGTATTGTTTAGGTTTTCAGTTACGTTGGCCGTTGAAGCGACTGATAGTTTGTTGTTTTTGGAGTAAATGCTACAATAACCTAGAATTTAGACCAATAAAGTCAGAACAAGTATTTAAACCCTTCCTAACAACGGTGGTGGATGTTATCTAGAGTACATACCTCCATGCTTTTTCCTTTGAAAAAGCATTTGATACGGTCAATCAAAGTGAAATGCTCCAAGCTCTAACACAATGTAGAATAGATCACCGATACATATCCCTCATCAAATACATCTATCAGCATGCTTACAGCCTGTGTAAGACTTAACGAAGATACTGGCACCTTTCGTATTGAAAGGCGATCGGCAAGGAGACATGTCTCCTAAATTATTTACAACTTTGCTAGAATACGCTTGTAAAACAATATAGTGTAACGAAAAGGGCATCAATGCAGATGGAAAATTTTTAAATAACCTTAAATTTGCAGATGATATCGTTCTTATTGCAGACAGATTTGATCAGGCACAGATAATGCTCCAAGAACTCCATACTGTCACAAAAAGAGTTGGTCTTAAAATAAATTTTTCAAAAACACAATTTATGACAAATTTAGTCCAAAACAAAAACATCTCAGTAGAAGACAAATATATTGAGCCAGTTGACTCTTATAAATACTTGGGTAATGAGATCAGAATAAGTCGAGACAACCAAACAATCGAGCTGAAAAGAAGAATAAACCTCGCTTGGGCTGCATTTGGAACGATGAAGGATTTTTTAGGTCTAAGATTCCAATGTGTCTGAAAAGAAAAGTATTTAATCAGTGATTTTGCCAGTGATGACCTACGGCGCAGAAACCCTAACACTCACAAGAACAACAGTGAATAAACTTCAAGTTGAGGAAAGGGCAATAGAGAGAATAATGTTAGGGATTTCTCTACGTGACAGAATACTCAATGCTACCATACGCAAAAGATCAGGAGTAGCAGACGTTATTGAAAGGATATCAACACTAAAGTGGAACTGGGCAGGTCATGTAGCAAGATCAGTTGATGACCAGTGGACAAAAAGAATTTTGGAATGGAGACCTCGAATACAAGCTAACAGAAATAGCAGTCGACCCCAACGAGATGGACAGATGACATAAAAAGAGTGACTACTTGGATTCAGATGGCGCAAAATCGGACTAAGTGGAAAAGCATGCGAAAAGCCTATGTTCAACAGTGGACGTTAGAGGCTAGTTGATGATGACATACCTTCTTGGCAGAATTTATTAAAAATTTAATCAACAAGTTTTGCCTGATATAAGAAGAGAACTTTTGGGAGATCATACCTAACTTATGCCTCTTTCCAACCTTTCCACAAGCACTACAAGTCGACCAATCGCTCCATTCAGTGTCTAGTACCAAACCATATTCTTCCAAAAATTGCGGTTTCTTGGGATAAGGTCCGAAAGGTGCTTCAGGGCTATGAACCTGATCGATGTCGCTTTCGTTTAAGTTTACGACAGTTAAAAAGTACGGAATTGTGGCAGATTCACCTAAGGTACACATATACTGCCCCGAATGTGTGCTATCTAAATTGTAGAGATGAAGAGTTTTTTCTTCGGGGGATAAAACAATATTTTCGTGAAGTTCAACTGGTTCTAGATGTTTGCCACCTGAAAAGACGTGTGGAAGATAAAATGAATCTAGTCATTAAACAAAAAAGGTTTGCAAAAATATATTTACCTATTGGGGCCCATTCCCACACCACCAACTCTATATTATCTTTTTCCTGTGGATTAATGCAAATTTTGCATGACAATTTCACATTTCCACCTACGAAACCCAGAACTGCTTCGGGCGACATTGACAAATACTGTCCAAGTCGTTCTTCCTGCCTTTTTAAACAATTATAATAGTCTTCCCATAAATCGTCGTTAATTTTGATATATTTCTCATTGGTCCCTGGATATTCTGAAGCTACGTGCCCTAAAAAGTTCAGCAATTTGCCACTGTGTTTTGTTTTGTAAATGTCAGATGCTTTTTGGCGAAGTTTTTTCAGAGAATCACCAAATAGCGCGTATACATCGGTACAGAGTAGCACTAGGATTATTATTTTGATGCAACGGTTCATATTTTTGACAAAAGTCAAAATGTAACTGTTGTATTCGACAGTTTAACTGACATTATTCTATTACTTGTTAGACAATTAGTTGAATACGTAAAAACAATTATCTCCTACACCTCCTTTAAATTCATGACAATTTCTTAACCGTTCGTTCATTCACTCAATTTCCTAACCTTCGCATTGAACAAGCCGAACTTAGAACGGTAGTCAACAGGATTCCTTCGACAAAACCTTCGACAGAAGATGGAACTTAAAGAAGAAGAAAATGCAGTATGCACGATCACATGTTAGGTATCATAAGGTATCCACGTAGATGACACATGATAACGATAACACACTTCTTTACTTAAGGACTTTGAAAAAAAAAAATAATTTTATTGATTTTTTAAATATATAGACATAAGAAACATTATCTTACGATAAATTCTGGTATTATCTGGTATATCAGGTTGCTGATCGATAGGAATAATAATTGTACCTTGCACAACATCGATAAGAGTAAAAACATTGTTATCATATTTTATCTATGCAGTCGAACCATTAACTGATTTTACGATAGTTTCTTTAATTCATAACAAGAATTTGTTGCTGATCTACCAGTAATTGACTAGGTGGAATATGCTTCTTAATGATGACCATTTACTTTGTTTTCTTGATGTTAAAATCAAGCCCGTATTCTTGACTGATTCTCCATAATTGCGTTACTAGTATCTGTACACCTTCTAAACTGTCTGCAAAGAGGATGGTGTGGTCTACATATCTGATGTTAGTCAAGCGCTCACCATTTATGAGAATACCCTCTTCGACATGCTCTAAGGCAGGGGTGCTTAAACTTGAACTGCTAGCGATCTACCTCAATATTTTTAGACTACTTACGATCGACTCTGAGAGACTGCAAGTGTGTGTGATGCAGGGTTGTCGTACATACACGATACACCCTACCTACCTAGGTAGGGCGTACCGTAGCATATATTATAGATATTAGCTTTCTGCACAATATAGGTACATTATTTTAGTCAAGGTTTGGGTTAGGTTTAGTTAGGTTCTTCTCTACAATATCAATGAAAAAACTCATAGTTATTTAAAATTGCGAGTGTATTTGTTGTTACAAAACAAAAGAGTTACATATGGTGTTAAACTTAACTAAGGAATGGCTTTGGATGTTGAAGCGTGGCCCTGCATGTCCTCAGCATACTTTTCATAAGATGGTACGTAACCACTGAGTGCTAATCGCAAGCATGATGTCATATGATCGTCAGTTAGTCGATTGCGATATTTTGACTTAATTATCTTCATTTCAGAAAATGCAGACTCGCACAAGTAAGTTGACCCAAAAAATGCCGTCAGTTGAAGGGCGATTTGCCTTACATTAGGATATTTATCTTCAGATATAAAACGCCAGAAATTTGTATCAGATACTGTAGCTTTGAGATGTATATCTGATATAATCTGCACCAACTCATTTTCAACAGAACATGAGTTCATATTAAACTGACTTGCTATTTCAGTAGCTAATTCCTCAATGTTTTTACATGAAAAAGGATCACTCATAAATGATGCTATATTTTCCAATTTACTGCAATCATAAAAACGCATTTCGAATTGTCTCAAAATATTTGATAATTCAGCCTCATACGTATCATAATTCAACTGAGGAATTCTTGCTTTCAAAGACGGAAAATGTTTCAGATCCTTTCTTTTCAGTTGATCTATCATAAGTTGCAATTTACTTTTAAATGCGTTTACTGCGCTAATCATCTCAATAATAGTTTTTCCTTTACTTTGAAGCTCCAAGTTAACGGTGTTTAAGTGCATTGTGATGCCAGTCAAAAATGCCAAATCATTTTAGCCATTTTTCGTTTTTCAAAATCTGAGTGTCATCACCTCTTTCGTCTAGAAAAGCTGTTATTTCGGGCAATAATTCTTGAAACCTTTCTAGGAATTTTCCGCGACTCAACCACTTGACGTCTGTGTGAAAAACTAAATCAGTGTGTTCAGCTGACTCCCTATCTTCCAACTGCAACTGAAAGAGCCGCCGTTGCAAGCTACGTGCACGGATTGAATTCACAATTTTTGTTGGAATGCCCATAATTTCCTCCGTGTTTAAAACTTTTGAACACAAAACTTATTGATGTATAATGCAATGGAATGAAAAAAATGAAGGTAATTCTTTATTAGCTCGACACAATGCCACAAAACCGTTTTTGTTTCCAGTCATTGCTGGTGCTCCATCGGTTGTAATGCACATTAATTTATATATTGGTAGCTCGTAGTTTTTTACAAAATTTAAGAAAACGTCATATATATCTTCGCCACGGGTCTTCCCCTTCAGAGGAATGATTGTCAAAAATTCTTCCTTAGCCAACATGTCATTGAATACCATCCGAATAAAAATACACAGCTGGGCAGTGTCTGTCATATCGATGGATTCGTCGAACTGTAAAGAAAAGTATGTACATTCCATGATATCATGTTTTAGTTTATCTGCGATGTTTTGACTCATGACTTCAATACGCCTTGTGACAGTCGGACGAGATAACTGAAGTTCTCTAATAGCAGACATGATTTCTGTTTTATTATAATAAATGCTTCCTTCACCACCGAGCCATCTTCAAATCGTTTTTGAAGCAGCTTTTGATTGTTTGGCTGGTCTTGTCAACATGGATTGTTCTTTTTTCAAACAAGATATCAAATCACTTACTTTTCGTTTTCTTAATTCACTCTGTGGCGGAAAATCCTTTTCATAGTTTTTATGAATCGATTTATGATGCCTCTCTAAGTTACCACGCTTAGGTTTTGCAACTGACGCACGACAAATAACACAAATGCACTTATCCTTCACCATAGAAAGAAAAATTCTTCCTCCCAAACCTTATTAAAATGATACGTTTTAGATTTCTTCACTGCACTTATTTTCCACTATTTAATAATAAACTTTGTATCGACGTAGGATCGCTATCAAGCTACAATTCAGAATAACCGTCAAACGCGCCGCCCGAAACTAGACTGTACTGTCTCTCGTCTAGAAACAACACGGATTTTCTTTGACAAGTGCCGCGCGTTCCTTTGATAAAGCCACCTTTTGCCGCAAGCAGTGTTATTTTATTACGTAATACATTTTTGTAGTTGATAGAATATCATCCCAAATTTGATTAATAAATATAATAAATATTGAATTAATAAAATAATTAGTTAATATATGTAAATATAAAATATGCTGTGTGGACAGTATTTTGTTGTCTCCACTTCTTTGAATTGCAATGATGCTTAGTCAAGCATTCTATGTATTTGTATAGTTCAGTATTAATAAAAACGTTTAACTCTGTTGACAGTAGTTTAGTTACCTACCTACTTATTAAAATTTTTTTTCTTCTCGAGATCTACCCAAAAAGCACTCGCGATCGACCGTTTGAGCACCCCTGCTCTAAGGCCTGGCTCATGACGTGTTCCGAATAGACGTTAAATAATAGGGGAGAGATTATGCAGCCCTTTCGTACTTCTCTCTTTATTGCAACTTCCTCTGTTAGTTGGTCTTTCACCCGAATGGTTGCTGATTGGTTGTAGTATATGTTCTTAATTACTCGAATGTCTTTGTTATCCAGATCAGTTGCCTTTAGTATATCCATGAGCTTATCGTGCTTGATTCCATCGAAAGCTTTCTGGTAGTCGATAAAGCATACATAAATATCGCAGTTGACGTCTCTGCACCTTTGAAATAATACCTGAACCGCCAACAAGGCTTCTCTTGTACCTAACGCATCCCTGAATCGAAACTGCGTTCGTGAGATCTGTGACTCGCATTTCTGATAAATTCTTCTGTGTATTATCTTTAAGACGGCCTCAAGAATGTATTAGAATATATTAGACTGATAATACGATGTGTTTTTATTAATTTTCCCTAATTTGCGATGTTTCCTGATACAAGGTATCGACCTGGTTTTGCAGGTACCGACCGAAGTACCTTAACCTCCCTCCCCTTCAACCAGGCTTGGAACCGATTACGGTGGAGTTATATTTTAATTTTGAAATAGCTCAAAGATAAAAAAGCGTGTCTAGATAATTTAAAACATTTTTAATTGTATAAAAATTTCGTCCCCAAGTTTCTATGTCAAGTTGTGGTTCATTTCTCAACAAATTAGTAGTAGATAACATTTTTGTTATGATTTTCCAAAGCAGATAAGATTAGTAACATTATTAAACACGTTAAAATGCTCTTTAAACTACTACATCCGATAAATTGTAAACAGTTTTAAGAAAATTCCGTTGTGAACAAATTAAAAAAATGTAGAAAAACAACACTATATATCATAATGTTGGCGGGCTCCGCTGCTATCATCGATATGATTATTTATTTTAAGTACCCATAAGTGGATATTTACCAACAAGACTCTTGAAAAAGTCGATGATGATAAATATAATAAATTGGACGAACTAATGGTTGTTATAGAAGCTTAACTCGTAACTCGTTCAGTGTCAACGTATGGAAAGGTCAGACAAGATGTTAAGGTAGGATTTTTATTAATAATTTTATCAGTGTATTAGAAAAACCGATGTGTGAATACTATTAGCAAAATTTTATAGTTTTTGATCAACTAAGCTTAATCTTGATGTATTAGAAATGTTGTTGAAGGTGAAATCATTCGATTACTTCTCGAATAAAAAGCTTTTGTCAAAATTATCATGGAGAAAAAGCTGGAAAATTGATAATAGTACATATGTTTGGTCTATTTCTTTACTTTTCTGTGAATATCAATATCAAATTATTTTTATACTTCATTCTTACTGTATTTTTGAGCATCCTTGATAAACAAGAAGTTACTTTTGTCATTTTATCATATTCTTTCAGTATGGTTAATCAAATTCTGTTACATTCTGAGAAATTATTATTTTTTTTTCTTTCAAAAGCAAATTCTTTTTATACTTCATTCTTACTGAATTTGTGAGCATCCTTGATAAACTATTTTTTGGTTTAATAATCTGTGAAGTTGGGTAATCAAATTTTGTTACATTCTTAGAAATTTTTCTTTTTTTTTCTTTCAAAA